ATTTATTAAATTTTCTCAAATTTTCTCTTTTTAAAAGATTTTACATGATCAACAGCTACTTCACTGGTAGAGATAACTCTTTTATTATTAAGAAAAATGTTAACAACAATTCTTCCAGCAAGTTTTATCCCAGTTTTCTCATGCATGGGACAAGAAAAAGTCTGAAAAGAGACATAAAAGTGGTTTAACAAATATTCTAAAGCTTGTCGTGCATGTAAACTAAATTTCTTTATTTTTTTATAAAAGTAGTCAATCATAGCAAAGGATGTGCAAACATAATCCAAAAGTGATGGTGAAGGAATAGTGAGACCACCCCTAGAAATAATTGTTAAATAAGTATGATCAGGATTGCTTTCATCAATATTGACACAACATAAAAATTCTTTACAACATGTACCAAAACGTTTTTTAAGTTTCTTTGCTATATAACCAGCAATATGAGCACCTACTTCCCTACTTTCTGGTGCAAGTGTCATGATTTCTGGAGTACACTGAGCTTCATCAATATCAAGAAGAAAGTTTTTCCAATCTGTTAAATTATTTTCTGACTCAGGCACTTTTAAACTATCATCGAAGTTAATACTTTCTTTAACTATACTTTTGATTTTTAATATTTTTTCAGAAATAGTGACATCTTTTAAACCTACCAAAAATCTTCCACCGCTCATTTGTCTATATTGTCCAAATCTCCTTTCAAATGGGTCACTTTGAAATCTCGCAGTTAAAACAAAGTGATATCCATCATTAAGCAAGTCCTCGATCAATGAGGCATGACTATTAAGTGTTCTTATTAGTGCTGCAGCTGTCTGAACAATTAAAGTAAACTTCTCACAGTTTGGTATCTTTTGTGATTGCCAAACTTCAATCCAATGTGCCATTTCCCGATGAAATTCAGGTTTTTTATCACCAGAAACGACTGCATTACCTAAAATATTACATGCTGAATACTGACATTTAGAATTTGATAAAACTCACCACTTGTTAAATAATGTAAGAAAATCTGCACTACTTTTAAGATCTGGAAAATATGAGTGAATCGCTGCTGATGTAGTTTCATCAAAAATTGCAAGTGCTAAAGAAACATTTTGTTTAAAATTGCCAGGATGTAACACTTTCATTGTTATTTTTGGTGCTTTACGCAAACCAGCATTAAGAGTGAGGTCTTTTTCATAAATATTGTGGAAGGTACTCCATTTAATTTCTCCCCCACATACAATTATAGGATCTTTAAATCCATTAAAGTTAAAATCTGGAAATAAAAATCTTTTGCAATTTAACAAATTATTTCTGATGTTTTTAATAAGATGTACAACATCAAAACAGAGGTAAATTTTTTTTAGATTGTAAATAAAAAACAAATCTTCAGCTTGTTGATTCGATGCACAAAGGATTTTTTTAAAACAAGAAGCATTAGCAGAATGGTTGTCACACACAATAACTCTAACATTAAATTCACATTCAGTTAAAATACGAAGACATTCAAAAATTTCTTCTTTCAACCATTCAGCATTGATTGTTTTTTCAGGAGACGTTTTGATCACATATGGAATGTTTTGTTTCAGGCCAACTATCATAAAACAAACTATTCCCTTATACATTTCTCCAGACTCATCACTACCAATCATCTCTCCAGCAAAATACTCCTCACATTTTTGCAAGTACATTTCATCAAAAATCAAGCAAATGTCTTGAGATATCTTACCTTCTAATTTTAAACGTTTTGCACAACTTAGAGCATCAATATTTCCACTAGTTATTTTTTTAAGTAATGATAATGATGGTAAAGGCAATTCTTCACGCAAAAGTTGGTATGACTGCATAGAAGTATATCGTAATATCAGTGAATACCTGATAATATTGGCTGAATAAATAGGTTTTTTCATATATTTAATTTGCTGTAATTCAGTCAATACAGATGAAAATTGTTCGGCTTGTGATTTAATGTAGGTAGGAAAATTATGAAGCATACTTTTACAAGATAAACGATAATCTCTTCCTTGACAAAACCACTGAGGTAATGGCAGAGGTGAACCTCTGTAAAATAATTTAACATGCATCTCATTTTTTACACAAATGCACTCTGTAACCTCTGGAATAGATAAAGTACTATGACTCAATTTGTAAAAAATTACATGATCATCATACTTCAAGAATGAAAAACCATCTGGAGCAAAACTTTCAGTAATATCGTTAAAGCTATTAATCAAATCATTAAATAAAAACTGTTCATATTGATCTGGCTGAAATATTCTTTTAGTTGGTGATTTTCTTAATGAATTTATAATATTTTTTTTCAAAATGTTTGATGCATATAACGGAAGAATTAGTAGGTGTCCAATCTTTTCTATTTACAAATTTAATCCAATATTTTTTTAACTCTTCATTTTTTGGAAACGAAAATACTACTGTAGATACTTCACCATAATTATGATAATTTTAACGACAATTTACGACGCAACATTTGTTACCCATCTTTTTGAACTTTCAAAGCTGCTTTCTTAAAAACACTCTTCCAGAAAACTGGCCTTCTATTTTTTTCTTCAAAATGTAAAATATCCGGCCGTATAAATAAAGTAGGCCATGCTTCCAACTATTTTTTTTATTTTTGGAACTCAAAACTGAAAAAAAATTAATTTCCAATGAGAAAACAGCTCCAAAAATAAAAACATGACACTTTTCATTAAAAATATTTAACTAAAATAATTTATATGTATAAATATATATATATATATATATATATATATATATATATATATATATATATATATATATATATATATATATATATATATATACATATTTTTTTATATCTGAATAGCATGATGTTTTTGTGAAAAAATGAAACGACAATCTTAAAAATCAAATTCTATTAAAACTAAAACTGTAGCATTTACATATAGTCTTTATATCATGCTTATAAGTAATTATAACAACAGCAAATTTAAATTGTTTTCGTCTGCACTTAACTGATACATACTTGTGAATTGCTTCATCATAGGAATGGTATCTCGTGATATCATATTCAATTAATTGAATTAAGAGGTTATTTAACCTTTTCATCCGTGTTGATCTATATTTATTTTTTATATATTCATCTATATTTATTATATCTATATTTATTTTTTATAAAAACCATTTTTGAAAAAGACTGTTCTGCTTCGCAGCTCGTTATAGGTACTGTTAGGTAAATTTTTAAACATTGTATAAAAATTTGGAAATATATCAATAAAGTTTTTTTCAAAAATTAGTGTCAACATTTTGAAAGCAGTAATACAATAATTTTGTTTGAAGTATACCATATATAAATAATGCTGAAATTGACTGCATTTACTAAATAGTACTTTTCCAATAATATTTTTATATAAGGACATAACGGAATCCATTAGTAAAAGTTCAATAACTGAAACTCTTTTGCCAAGTTTCATCAAAAATTTGAAATTATCACCAATATCTTTATATAAAACTTTTTTATCAAGTTCAGACCCCAATTTATCCAACAAAACATTAAATACCTCTTTACGAAACTTATCCGTTCCAGTAAAAATATATCTTCTTTTTTCTCTACTCAAATATATTTTGGTTCTTACTCTTTTATGCGTATCGCTAAAATTTTCTTCGACTTCTGGACTCATTTTGACTGCTTTGTTTGCATTTATTTCGGCTGGAATCTTTGCGTAAAGATTTTATATATAACTCCAGTAATGAAGTAAAGTGTATCCTTCACATATATCTAAACCTGGAGTTAGTAGTATTTTGTTAACTTTATTAAATCGCTTTAAGATTTTTTCGCCATATTACAGTTATGGCTGCAGTTTACCGCATCGTAAATCTTTTATATAAACCTTTTACCACGTTTATCAAATATATACTTAAGGGTATTGAGTATTTTTTGATAGCTAACTTTAACCGCATGAACTCATAATGAGAAGACTATATAGTGGTGCTTTTTTAGTGAAAGTGCCAGTGATGCTCTTTCTTTCAAAACTTTCCAACGGTGTGGGGATGCAGAGAAATAAGTGTAAATGTTTTGAATATTCCAAAAATATTTTATTGTTTCTATTACAACGTATACTGCCTCTACTCAAACAAAATTTAAAAAATGCGTAGCACAAGGGGCAAAAATCCACTAATGCATTCATTCTTTTTATTAGTGCTTGTAAGCCTGTATATTTTTCCATATATATTTGACGCGCTATCGTATGATTAACCACGGATGTTTTCAATAAAAAGATCTGCTTTATCGAAAAACTGAAATACTTTTGTGCTTTCGATTTGTAGAAAGGTTGTAAATAAAATATTTTCCGTGATAACAGTATTTTAATATTATTGCCAGCTGATCTGTATGAGCAATGTATAACGTGAAATCTGCAAAAAGGGTATATTTTGTATCAATGTTAATCTGCTCAGTAATTTGTTTTAAAACATTTTTTCTCATGATCTACCCTACCTCTTTATAATAAGATTTTTGGTTTAGCATTCGGTATCTACGTGGCCATTTGCAGTATGCTCTTCAGTTAGTTCTTAATCATCAGTTTTTTTACCTCTTCCAATGGTAATTTTTTTGAATGATTTACCACCTTTTTCTCTTCCAAACATGTAATTTTTTTGAATGATTTAATGATACTTACTTCGACAGCGTTGCATTGGAAAAAGCTGGTTATTTTTGAAAATTTTGAAAATGTTTTAACCTTTTGTGTTTTTATTTTTTGTTTTTGACTACCACTTCTTTTCTTTCCGGACATTTTTAATTATATTTATAATCCCCAAACCTCCCAAATAAATTTCCAATCAGCCTATCCAAAATCCATGACTCAATTATATCAAAACATGGCAGTACCAACACTAACCTACGATCTGAAACTTTGCAGAAACAATGACGTGATCATGCAAAAACTAGACATAACCGGAATGAGTACATAGTTTTTCAACTAAACATTGCAAAAAAACTATTTATATTCTTTATTTAAAATCCAAGACATATCAAAATAAATTGAACTTACTTTTTCATCATTTATTTAGACAACAACCCAACATATGACATTATTGAATTTCAACTGAAAAATTCCACAAGAAATCACTCTTTTGTAGGTGATTTCCAGAAAGTGTGTCATAATAATGAAATAAGCTTTAAGAGTGAAAAGAGTGCTTTCAACCACGTCTCTTTTTCATTTGTGCTTAATTCAATTGAAGCCATGAGACTAGTATCAATAGTGGTTTGTGGCAAAAGGGAACAGAATAACGTCAAAGAACAGAACAACAAAAACATTCTGATGATGTTTTGCATATGAAGCAAAAATCGTTGCTTTACTCTTGGAAAAGTCACGTCACTACCAGTATAATTGTCATTTTTTTCAAGCTGTTGACAAGCTTGTTTTTGTATTGTCTCCTTGATGACTTGCATAATAATTGTCAGAAAACTTTAAGTGAAAATTTTGGCTTATGATTTGACAATAATAGACGAAATCTCTGCTGTTATGAGAGCTAAAAAAATCAATAATGTCAGTGTAAAGCATAAGAATAAAAGGTATGACCAACGTATGACGGAATTATCAGAATGTAATTATAATGACCTGCAACTCACCGTTGTAGTTCATTATTATTACATTTTAAGTTTTTATCTGTTTAACAACTATTCTATAGTTCAAACAAAGTACTAAAAACAAAACTTGTATTTATTTTACTTACTTGAAATATGTTTGCGAACATCATTTAAACAGAGAAAATACATGCTGTTCTTTTTTGTAGCATTTTTTTTGTCTCAGGTTTTTGGTATAGAGCGTATTTTCCTTTTCAAATTTTTCAAAAAAAGGACTGCATGATTTAACGCAGAAGTATAAAATTGGCGCTTCTCAAAATTTAATTATGGTAAAAAATAGTTATCGTTCAACAAGATTTGCAGTCATTAGAACGAGAAATTATAAGTGATATAAAATTTGAGAGCATTTTCATTGTTTTTTTAAGTCACATTTGCGGCTAGGAGTGAGCGAAATCGGATATATGGTCCGTTTAGTTGAAACCGGATTTTAACAAACCGGACCGGATAACCGGTTTGGGGATAGAACTTGATAGAAACGTCAATAATTATTATTATTTTTTTAAGTAATAAATTGATGTAACAATGGAATCATTAATAAAGTCAATGGAATATGAGCAGACTTTTGAATAATGTTAAAAAATTTTGCATTTGAAAATCTTTTAGGACATAAAAAAAAGTGCTTCATAATTGAAAGCAGAATTAATTATAAAATGAAAAAAGCAAATGTTTTTTGCTAAAATCAGAATTCGGTTTTGCAAAAAAAAATAAAAAATAATTATTGATATTTTATTACAGCTATTTATTAGTTTAATGAATTGTTATTATTTATAATAATTTGATTTATTCTTTTTTAAATTACTATACTCAGGACTTTTGAAGCACATTCTGTAGCAATTAGAAGAAATATTTTTATAAATACTTATATATAAAATTTCTTTTTTTTTAAATATGATATTTTTATTTCAATTATAAATCAACCGTATTTATTATAAACACTTGATACAAAAATACAAATTCTAAAAGAAAAAATGCGACTCTTATGTATAAAATTAAGGAAGTCACATCTTTGCACTCTTAGAAAGAAAATTTTTTATAACAAAACAAAATCATTGAAATTACAAAGACTAAAAACAGTTTTTGTATTTACTTTCCAAAAGAAACTTTGTAAGTACTATTTCTTTAAAAACTTTATTTTAAATAACAAAAAATGCATTTCTCAAATTTAAGCGAAAAAAACTCCTTTCAAAAATAAAATCTTTTAAAAACTCAAACAATAAGAATCAAAACGATATAATCTATAAGTCAACGTAAGTCAACAATCTGAACATAATAAAAATTAAAAATGACTGAAAAGTCGTAAATATACAGAATAATCCAAAAAGTTAAAAATAGGAAAAAAAAAATAAACATTTCTTACAAACAGCAAAATAAAGCATCTTATTGAACCGAACTCGATAAAACGTGAAAAAATAGTATTTCAAATTTCTTTAATCAAAAAACTCAAATTATTCGAAACAGTCGAGCTTTATCTCAATAAATATATTTTAGAAACCAAGAAAATTATATTTATTTTATTAGACAAGAAGCCTTCCGAGACTGAAAGACCCGCCGTCAGAAATAACAGAAGGACTCCTTAAATAATCTATTAAATTGCCAGTATTAATTTTTCTTCGATACTTATTGAGATAAAGACCAACAGCTCTAAGAAAATTCACAATATCATTATTGACACAAATCCCTTTATGCGTAGATATAACTTAACGTTTTATTGGCAACGCATATTGAGAGAACCAGCCCCCATAGTGTCTACCTATATTGTAAGTTAAGTTACATCCAATGCATACAGAGAACTGTGTAAAGACAGCTCGATGAATACTGAGCTGAATATTTATACAAATGTATGAATATTTATACAAATGTGAAACAATGTTCATGTTTATTTAAATACATAAATTTAATATAATAGACAAGACAACAAACAATTATGAAGTATATATGGAGATTACATGTGTTATATACATGTAAAGTACAAACAAATAGTTTTTGTAATATACATTAAAATTGAAAAACACGATAACACCTCTCCAAAACAGAAAAATATTTTCAAATATATCATATAAAAAATAAAATAGAGAATTCCAAATATTTTTTATCTTTTTGTTTGAGTTTAAGAAAAATATAAATTATCATAAAAATCCAACAAAAATTAATGCAGATATACAAAAACAGAAGATTTATCGCCAAAACCAGCATGGCTGATAAAAACCTCATGTTTCATAAACATTTTTTATTTTACCTTACTTTGCTAAAAAAGAAAAACTTTTCTCAAAACTAAAACAAAGAAATAAAATTTGGAACAAACTTTACACAATGAATAAAAAGATGTTGTAAGGTTTTAAAGATCACGAACTTCTGTTGCGCGTGCCATGACCGTTTTTTAGATGATCTAAAATATACGCAAATCAAAAATTTTTTATGCTGTTTAAATATTACACTTTAAAAAATATTCTTAAAGTGCGTATCCTTTGATGGTCAAACTAATGATTGGCAATGGTTGCCAGACATGAACATTAATGTATAAATAAAATACACAGCATTAACTCGTTAAAGAACATTTGAACTGTAGAAACAGTTAAAAACATTTTATAAGGCAGTTCATAAATAAACATTTTTTTTATTTGTAAAACAATTTTTTGATAAACTTTAGGGGTCGTCCATAAATTACGTCACGCTCTTGGGGAGAAGGGGAGGGGTTAGTGGTTTGGTGACGACTCGTTTGGGACTTGATACTAAGGAGTTACGATGTTGTGACAAGTTACAATTGTGTGATGTAATTTATGGAAAACCCCTTATAACAATTTTTTGAATAAAAAACTTTTTATGGTTAAAATTTATTTTTTGAATTTTTTAAGACAAGTACAACTTGCAAGTAAGTCAACCATGACGGTAATTAACAAAAAATATTCTTTACCTATAAATTTTTATTTTACCTTTAACAAATTTCATTCCATTATTCAAATTTTTTTTGGAGTCAAGTTGAGGTTTACATGTATTGTCGTATTCTCTTGTATCGTCTAACTCTTTCAATTTTCCAGTAGCAATCCGATATGCAAGTCCCATTATCATATTAAACCACCAGAGATTTAAAGCATAAAGCAAAATCAACATGGCATTAAAAGGTATGTAGAACTTGTTATGTGATATAGTATTTACAGAGATGTAAGCAGTAGAAAATAACACAATTTGAGGATAGAGATACAATCGAAAATAAATCCTAAAATATAAATAACCATGTATTGCAGGTGATGAAATTTTTTTTATTATACGTTAAAATATATGTACAGTACCTAAAGAGTACTACAGTACCTGTTTCTACAGTACCTAAAGAGTACTACAGTACCTGTTTCTACAGTACCTGTTTCTACAGTACCTAAAGAGTACTACAGTACCTGTTTCTACAGTACCTAAAGAGTACTACAGTACCTGTTTCTACAGTACCTAAAGAGTACTACATTACCTGTTTCTACCTAAAGATGTTTCTATCATACCTAAAAGTTTTTCTTTTAGTTATGATAGAAACATCTAAAAATATTTTTACTCTTACTAAAGATATTTTTTCCATACCTAAAAATATTACTACTGTACCTAAATATATTCCTACTGTATCTAAAATTATTTCTGTAGCTAAAAATATTGCTACTTTACCTAAATATATTCTTATTGTATTTAAAAAATAAAAAGGTAAAAAAAATAAATAAAAGGTAACAAGTACTTTTTTAAAATAATTTATCCAAAAAATATTTTTAATTCCATAACTAATCTTTTTTAATATATGCACACAATGTATATGACCTCTTGTCAATGCTTATACAAGGAACATATACAAGCTGTTACAAATACAAAGAACAAATGCCATTGATGTAGAGCTCTTTAGATTTTGAATTTTCATTTTGAATCTTACATTGTACAAGCTGCTGCTTAGTGATCTGAACAAATAATAATCTGTTGGAGTTTGGGCTGATAGGGAAAACGAGGCAAGAATTCTCAGTTAAATTCTAAATTTTCCTGCTTTGGGAATGCAAGAGCAGACATTGACATTGGAGGATGTAAACTTTGTGTCTTGATTATTTTAAAAAAGACTTTTTGTAGAGCTGAGCATAACATATTGCTGCCATAATTGTAGTATTTGGTCGAAACTATTCCCAGTACATAATAATGTGCGTGCTCCACTAAACCAAAAACAACACTTTTTGGTATGCAGGTTGACACTTGGAGTTGGTTTTGGTGGTTGTTCCAACCCTAGCCACTGGAACACCCTGATGTGGTTTACATAGAGTATCCACTTCTCAACCCTAATATGACATAGTCTAACTAGTAAGAGATTTATGCTAGTGTCCACCTAGTGTAGTATCAGTTTGTGTAGTATCCAAACACCAAGCTTGGAGGTCTTCCCTAATTTGTACAAGTGGTATTCTATAGCACCATGAATGCATCCAAGTTCAGCAACTAGTTAATATAGAAAATGCAATGCAGAAATTTTAATTAAACTAATAAGACATATAACACCATATACTAAAACCATGGATAATTCTCAAAGCTTCTAAAACTTTCCAGGAATTTTAAGAAAAATTGCTCATTACTTTTTCATCAACCCAATAAAAAATATGTCTACTGCACCCAAAAATATTTTACTGTACTTAAAGAAAAAATATGTAACAAAAATAGAAATGTAAAACATACCACACTAAAATAAAAAAAACAAATCCAAAATTATTTATTGCTTCAAATATATGATTTTTTTTCTTCTTATTTATACAAACACCAAGTTTTGTTGCTTCAAGGATAACATCAGATGGATCATGTAGATACAAAACAATTAAACCTATGCAGTGGTATCTATATGACACAAAAAAAATATTATTTTTGTTATTGATACATTATTTAATGATGATTTAAAAATCATTTTTCTTTGAAATGAAAGAATAAAACCTTTTACCTCACTGAGTATGAAAAAAGAATAAGTGTCAAAGCAAGAACATGATGATAAAGCATTGCAATGGAATCTTTCTTCCAAACATCCATAAACACAGTTGCAAAAATTGAATGAATGTAATAACCACTTTGTATCAAATAAAGATATTTTATAGGATCTGGAATTTCCATTTCCTGATAAAATCCTAAAAGGTGAAACAAAATAATATTTATAAAATAATTGCTTCAATTAAAAAGCAATCTAAATATATACTAAAATAGTGTTCAAAATATTTGGTCAATTGCAACGTTCTTTTTAACAGTTTTTCTAGAAAAAGTTACAATTCTTAACAAATAAATATCAGAAAAACAGCAGTTATGATACAACAATTATTACATTATGATACAACAAACATTACAGTGTAACCTTGGTCATAAGAAATAGATATTTTGGTCACTCAGGCTGTAATATTGTGATTTTTTTAAATATTCGCTTTTTAAATATATATACTTTTGATATTTTAGTATTAAAAACAATCATAGGGTCAGGAACAGAGTGCACAAAATATCGAAACGCATTAAGATATTAATCCTTCATTTGATGTAGATGCATTATTTGTTTCTTTGTAAACTCGTATTCTTTTTGAAGACACAAATTTTATTAAAAATGTAGATTCCTTGGGGTTTGAGTTGCCTAGTAAAACAGTAAAAAAATACATTTTCTTGCGCAATTTTCGCTAAGAAATGCATATCTCAATGAGGCTTTGCAAGACACACAAAATCAAATGATTGCAATATTCCTTTAGGTTCAAGATTAAAAAATCCTGAACCATCTTTAATTCTTGATTTACCCTGATATGCACACAGATGAATTATTATTCAACCTTGTTACGTTCTAGATAATTCATAACACACTCTATCTACTAGACACAACAGCTAGCTTGTTTTAAAGCTAATAGCGATGCAGGAAAGTTTTCTTTAACAATCAACTAGAAAATTATCTAAATTTCTTGGCAATGAACCATGCAACCATGTTTTAGCATTTTATACAAACTCAGTTTATAATAGTTCTTTTATAAATTAAAATGATTTATTATCGATTGAATTTTCAATTGAGATAAAAAATATTAAGTGGTTACTTACTCAACACATTTTGTAGTAGAATTTGCAGCTTTTGGTTATGACAGCCAAAGATATTTATTTTTTGGAATATTTACAAAAAGTTTTAGAAATATTTACAAAGTTTAATTTATATTTTGCCATAAAAATACTTGTTTAGTAAAAAAAATCAATTCACAATTAACAGCAAATGAAGTTTTGTTTAAAATAGTTTGAAATTTGTAGTCTTTGCACAAATCAATCATCTAAAGAACCTTCTTTAAACTCATTATATAAACATCATTTCACAACTCACAAGATCCAGTTTGTTCACAAGATCTTTTTCATATGCAAAAGAATAACTACAAGTATATATTAACTCAAAAAGAATAAAAAATTTATCTGTACAAAAATGAAAAAGATATTTATTGAATATGAATGTTAATAGCCACAAATTTCATACTTGGAATAGTAACTTTTTAATTAATTGTCATAAAAGAATTAATCTTTAAAAAGGTTGTTTTTTTTTGTGTGTGAATAGTTGCTACTCAGGGGAGGGTAAATAATTTAATTGTCTTTATTAATGATACTGTTAAAAATAGTTAAAAAAAACTTTTAAATATGTTAAATCAGTAATTGTTCTTAAAATTATTAGTTAAGACCAAGTCCAAATTTTTTTCCTGGAGAATTGTACAACTAGTGGCATCAAAATGTTACAAAATTTTTTAAGAAACCCTTTGTATATGAAAGAGTTAGGAAACCCTAATTTATAGAGTTCCGCAAACCCGAGTTTTTATAACTTTAAATTTTAAAGGATTCTCTATAACTAACTTTCTATTATTAGCCTATTATTAACTTGCAGCAGGTTTAATATAAGGCCACTTCTTTTATTTATTAATAATAAAATTCAAGGAAGGGTTAATTACAATTGCAAACAAAGTTAATCACAACCTAATAACCCTTTGTGGCATTAACCTGTTTTGTATACCAGGACTGAGTGTTTTTCTGATAGCAGCACAAGGAAGATTTTGAGTTTTATATGGAGTTTCCCTTCTCCTTGATAAGTTGCTTTCATGATAGCAAAGAAGCATTACCTGCCCTTTAGAAGCCTAGGCAGGATTTTTTTTTGATGTTTCAGATATTGTGCAAACTCTAAACTTAAGTATGTTCATGCTTATGTCAAATGAAAATGTTTTGCAAAAAATTGCTGTGATTAAAACCTGGAAACAATAATGCCTTAAAAAGTTTTGCCACAAACACGAAGGCAATAAATTAATAAATTACTTTTTTTTTTAAGCAAAATGTGCTAAACTTAAATTCTTCAACAGGTTTTAAATTTTATTTGATAACCTTTTAGTATTCAAAAGTTATGATCATGTGAAGTTTAAGACCTTAATAAATTTTACATTGTCTAAACGTTTGATCAATTCGTTATTCTAAAAAATATTTTCAGATACACTATATGAAGAGAGGCAAGCAAAACTTTAAAAGCTTTTGATATGTGATCTTGAAATGTTATTTTATATATATATATATATATATATATATATATATATATATATATATATATATATATATATATATATATATATATATATATATATATATATATATATATATATATATATATATATATATATATATATATATATATATATACATTTTAATACTTTAATTAGATTACTTTTTTTTTTAGATTACTTGTTCAATAAAACATTTTAATATCAATTAAAGTGAATTCTACTAATGCCAAAGACATAAATTATAAATAAGGAAATAATTTTATACATGCTGTTAAGAAATAACAAAGCAATATCAACAGTAAATATTTAAAATAAACTTGTTGTTTCCTAATATTATCAAAAAAAAAGGTCTTTCAAAAGTATATGTTGTGTCTCAAAAAAAGCGAAATGATATAAAAATTTTAAAACCAATCATCATGTTATAAAAAAAAACTATTTTAAATTTCACTGCCTAAAAAATTACATATTTTACTAAAAAATGCATTTTTACAAAAAAAAAATTTATTTAAATTTTTTTTTCTCAATGTCTTTTATAAAATGATGATTATTTTTGAAATTTTTATATAATTTTGCTTCTTTTAAGACCCAACATAATATACTTTTAAAAAACTCTTTTTTTTTTTAAATAATAGGGACCCGCCTATATATCAGGGTGTTAGCCAGGAAAAAAATTCATACAGTGTTTTTGCGAAATTGGGAATTTAGGGGCAACCTAAAAGAAAGAGAGAGAAAAAAAAAAAGAGATCATTACATTCTGACACAAAAATATTTCAAAGCAGAAATATTTTTCTACTTGATAAATGTTAAATTCTAATAATTCGACAAGTTTCATTATGAACAATCTTCTTAAGTTTTTATTTTTAAATTGCTTCTCTACTTTGTTTGATCTACTTTTGTTTGATAAACTTTGATATATTATAATTGCATACATTGCTTTTAAATACAGTTTTTAATCTTTAAATAATAACCGCCTTGAGGCAACACTAATAACTAAAATTGACTTACATTACTAAACTTAGTATATACATGTAAATTTTGTATTTGTAAATAAAAAAAAATTAATTTTTGTATTTATAAATATTTGTTAATAATTAATAATACTTTAATATTACTTAATTATCTTCTTTTATGTTTTATGCAAATATAACAGATAATATGTTTCATTGCAGGTTTTAATTTTGATTTTTTTGTTGTTGTTATTTTTGGTTTACTTTACTAGCTAATTTACTTTACCGAAAGTATTAATAAATCTTTTATAATAAAAACATTATTAACTTATTTTAAAGTATAATATTTATTATTATGCTAATTCCTTTGCAACTGTCCTAACATAAAATAAACAGAAAAAATGAAATTAAAGAGTTTTTGATTAATAAAAATAAATTAATAAAATAATTTATTAAACATATTGAAAAATCTTAACTAGAGAATAACTTTAAAAAAAAAAGTTTTTTTCGACTTTTGAATGAATGATCTTGTTAATGTTAATGATGCTTGTTAATGACGACACGTTTTTACACATTAAAAAAAATCGATCAACATAATTCTTTTCATCGTCGTTTGTACTAATTGCATTTTTTACTTGTCTAGCGCGAAACTTTAAATGTGAGACTTTAATTTTTTTTTTTAACTATAATCTTATGAACCTTGGGGAATTTTAAACCAATTGGGAATACCGCGTTATACGCGGTGCCATCAGGCTGGCACCTATATATATATATATATATATATATATATATATATATATATATATATATATATATATATATATATATATATATATATATATATATATATATATATATATATATATGTATATATATATATATATATATGTATATATATATATATATATATATATATATATATATATATATGTATGTATATATATGTATATATATATATATATATGTATATATATATGTATATATATGTATATATATATATATATATATATATATATATATATATATATATATATATGTATATATATATATGTATATATATATATATATATATGTATATATATATATATGTATATATATATATATATATATATATATATATATGTATATATATATATATATATATATATATATATATATATATATATATATATATATATATGTATGTATATATATGTATATATATATAAATATATATATACGTATGTATGTATATATATATATATATATATATATATATATATGTATATATATATATATATATATATATATATATATATATATATATATATATATATATATATATATATATATATATACATATACAGTTTTCTTGTAAATAACCAATATTTAATGCCATTTAATATTTTTATAAAGATTTGTTGATTTTTGTGCACTCTCAATGCTTTTGCATTGAGAACAAAGTAAAACCATTTCAATGAGCGTTCTTTTATTCCTAAATAATCTGCTTAATGAAAATTCACCGATAGATGATTAAAAATCAAATATTTTTCAAATACTATGTATAGAATAAGAATTAGATATTAATGCTTTAACAAAACACTTAATTGGAGATAAATGTTTTGTATTTATGCTGTATGTATTTAATGGTAGAAGCTACTAATATATGCCAAATATTGTAAAAGCAAAACTAATATCAGCATACATTTTATAACAAAGAAGTTTAGTTTGAGTTATATATTTTAAAATCTCCTATAGCAGGGCTCACACTAATGGTTCAGTGAGATTTGAACTTCTAAATGCTATTTATAAATTGGTCAAATGTGATATATTTATGCAAGGCTCGAATTAAATATGCGGTAGTGGTGTAGTGGTACATGCAGTCGCACGCCTTGTCCATCCACATTTGAAAAAAATTATTTAAATGCACTGACCACAATAGTTCGAACCTTTTAACTTTTAAAAGGTTTCAATAATTTGTGACAGAAAGCTAAATTTATTTACTTAAAAAAAAAACACCAATACTAAAAAAAGGAAACTAAATAAACTAGAAAAGTTTAATAAAATAAAAATTTGAAAAAGAAAAAAGAAATTTTTTAAATAAAATTTTATACTTATGTATTTTTTTTTAAGGGTGGTTTTTTTTTTTTTAGCTACCCATTTTGATAACTTAAAACAATTTCACAACCATTTAAAGTTTTGATTTGCAATTTATTCACAATTTTTATTAGTCTGTATATTAAAAAAACTAATTTGGTATATACACAAGAGACTTTAAAAATGTTTTTATTTGATATTTTTCCTATTTGATGTTTATTATATTATACTTATTATATGTTTATTATATTACATTTGATATTTTGAGCATTACAAGCTCCACTGTTGCATTAAATTATTAATGTTTCCTTTATATTGGTCAATTTCCAACTTTAATAGGAATTACTAGAGGTAACGAACATAACCATTTCTCTTTATGAAGAAATTTATTTAAAAACTTAAAAAGAAGTTTTAAATAGGTTTCTAAAAAGCTCAATAAAAAAGATCTGTAAATTAACAACACACTAGCCCACAAGCTTTTGGAGCATCGTAAATAACAATAGTTCATCAGGAAATAAACTATCAGGTTTAAATTCACAATTTGGAGAACCCATCAAAAGTGCAGGCTATTTCAATGCGGTAGAAAAAAGCGAAATGTTTTATATTTGAAAATTAGCATTAATGACCTTTAATTTTTTTACATAAAAAACTTTTTAAAAAATAAAAAAAATATTTCATAAATAATAATTGAAAAACAAATTTTAAAACTGTCTATATTTCTAGCTCATAAAGCATTTCCTTATTATACCGACTAAAAAAAGTTACCAAAAAATTGTATATCAAAAAATATTTTTGTTTTTGTTTATTCTTATCTGCTTTTTTCCTTAATTTTGGTAGGGGAAAATACCAAATGCCCTTATAAAAGAAAACAAAAACAGTAAAATATTTATGCATATTTTTTTTTGACAAAATTTTTTTTTAATTTTCAATTTTTTTTAAGTTTATTTTACTTAGATTTTCTATTTCTTAAAATATTTGTTTTCTTTTGACTCTTTTTTTTTTTTACTCTTTTCCTAAAACTGTAAAATTTTCATGTAATTTGTTCTAAAATTTATATAGCTGTATCTTTCGAGCCTCCAAATTTATTTTGATGAAATTTATAAACTATGATCCTATTTAAAGATTTATTTTTTTCAATTAGTTTTTTAAATAATCTTTAAACTAATAGTTATTGGAGTGACACTAATGACACTTTTGAGGGAACCTTTGTTCCAGGAAGTTCGAGACAATGTGCTGTTAGAAAAAAATATCTTAAAAATTAAGCGTTCAATACAATCTCTAGAAAAAATGGCAATCAGATTTTCTCTTCAAAAACTAATAAAGTTATTGTTAGATTCAGGAACTTTATATATAAAAACTCCCTAAAGCTTCCATAAGTACTGCAGCCATAAATAGAACAATAACCAGCAAGAATTCGAACTATTGGATAAAGAACATGCAATTTTAAGAAGCAGCTCATAGGTAAACAATAATCGCTAACAAACTTTGTGTACTCTGCAGTGGACTGGACATTAAAAAGTGCAAACAAAGAGTTAATCAAAGGAATACCGCAAGAGGCCAGACTATTTATTTCTATGACTATGGTGTAACTAACAAAACTAATAATAAAACGTTGTTAATTATCATAATCATTATATTTTCTACATGAGCTTTTGTATCTTAATATCTAAAAAACCCACAAAATGCTAATCAACAACCTTGCCTGCCAAATATATATCCAGTGCTTAAAGTTAGGCTAGATGCATTATACCATCACACCACCTTTTTATAAAGTGTAAGTAATTCTGCCACCTTTATATAAATCTCTTTAGGTAACAATAAATAGGTGAGATAATATATATATTTTTTTAATTAATCATTATTTTAAAATTAATTCACCTTCCCAATGTGAAGCCAATCTGTAACGTAATTCTGGGTATTTGATGTTGACTAAGTAATACTCCCAAATAAAAAATACTGCATAATAGAACGACTTGCAGCAGCTTTCATAAAATTTTTTCTCTTCTTTTGGAAAAAGATCAAGGTATTTCCAAATAGGCTACATAAAAAAAAAATTTTTCAAAAAATTCAAAAAAACATAAATGAAATACAAATAAAATCAAAAATTTTTATCAAATAAATTTTTTTTGGGCATATTTATTCTTTTATAGAAAGCTTTTAAGCAATTTTTATATGTAAAAGTAAACTTTTATTCAATAAAAAATATTAAAAACTAAGTTTCAAATAAACTACACAAAAATCTTTTTAAAAAAAGTTTTCGATACCACCTTTTTTTTACTCAATATTAGCATTTATTTTTTGTCAAATTTTGTGGTAAAAACCAGTTTTATAAATATTTGGGGTATCCCTATGAATACATGTCATGTTTTATGAACAAACATTCACACAATGTTTTATTTACATTTGTGATATCCTTATAAGAATGTTGTTTTATGAACAAGTATTTAAATAATACTTTTAAACATTTGAGTAAGCAAACAGGTACACCAAGCTTGGAAGGTTTATCTTTTTTGTTCAAGTGTTATTCTATAGTACCAAAAATCAAAGTTTACTTGCTAATCAGCACATAGTTAATTATAGATTAGCAGCTTTAAATGATAAACCCAACTTATCAGAAATTTATTTTTTACATAATTATATTGAATTAAAATTAGAATTTAAGGAATTTAAATAGCAACAAACAGGGTCGGATTGGCAAGGCGGGTTGGGGTCCCCCCTGGGCCCCTCTCTACCTCTGGGCCCTTAAAAAAGGTACCTCAAAAAAAAAATCCTTGATATGTAATATAGGAAAATTTTTATATATAAGGCAGTCCTGCATCTTTGTCTCCCCAGGCCCCTAAATCCCAGTCTGACCCTGGCAACAAACTAATTAATCTGAACCAGCATGGATTTGTTCCTTCAATAAGTTGTACAACTAACTTGTTGAAAACTTACAATTTTCTTACAAACTATCTAAATCTAAGGATACCGGTAAATATTATTTACTTTGATTTTCCCAAAGCATTGATGAAAAACTTTATTATTCTATTAATTGATTAAATGATAAGGTAATCAATTATTAAAATGGATTTGTGCTTTTCTGCCCATAGAACACAAAGAGTCATAAGAGATTCTACATCAAATTGGATACAGGTAACTAGCAGAGTACCTCAAGGCTCAGTGTTGGGACCCACACTACTTATTCTATACATTAATGATATGTTGGACAATATTACATGTCACTGCAAACTGTTTGCAGACGACACAAAGATTTACAGTTTTTAAAGAAAAAAAAAGAAAAAAAGTTGCTGTTTTTTAAAAAACAGACCAATTAAATTTACAATATACTGTTAATAAAATATGAGAATGAGCTAAAACACGGTCTATGACTTTCAACAAGGAAATCGTAATGTAATGCATTTTGGTCAAAATAACCAGAATTATAGTTACGAACTAATTAAACAACAAATGGAAACAATTAAAAAGAAAAAGGTCTTTAGTGTATTGTTTACAAAAAACCTTAGATGGAAGGAACATATTGAAACTGTAACTCATAAGCAAATCATTTTTTAGGATAATAAGGAAAACGTTTAAAAATAATAACAGAATCATAATAAGACAATGGTATCTATCTTTAGTAAGACCTCACTTGGAATAAGCAGTGCCTGTCTGGTGTCCATGACATTAAAACTATAGAAAGCATACAAACAGCAAAAAAAAATTATTAATGAGTTTAGAAATTACAGATATGAAGACCTGCTAAAAAAAACCATAGCTATAACCTTGTATTATCATTATAATAACCCAATAATATATATTTTTTAAATTTATTTATTTTATTCTTTTATTTAAAATTACAGAATCTTGATTTTTAAGATTAAAAAAAAAAAAAAGATTAGTAAGTACTGCTTTAAAAAAAAAAACTAGACCCATTAAACCCAGCATTAGAAATTTATCTGATCCTACTGTGTCACAAAGTTTTGAAATTTTTAATATATTTTTTGTAAAACTTTTGTGACTTTTATACAAAGTTAAAAAAAAAACTTTTTCTGCACTAACCTAAGAGTTTGAATTAAAGTAATAAAATCCTTCTCCTATCTTCCTTAAATGTAAAGTAATATAATCCTTTTCCTATCTTCCTTAAACGTAAAAGAAATAAAATCCTTCTCCATTTGAAGAACTGATTAGTTAGCAAACTGTTTGCCTAGAAACTCTATAACAAATTGCACCATCAACTCTATACTAATTTGATGAAAAAAATATTATAGATTATTGTATCAGTTAATAAAAGCATGTTGTAAAATGCTTATGTCTAAACCATATTGTTACAAAATAAAAAGATTCGACTTGTTTTTAATTAGTCAACTTTGAAAAATGTTATAGTCGATTTAATCGACTATGGACTTCCTACTAATCAACTAAGTCAATTTAGTCAAGTAAAAATCTTAAAATTCTTATATATTTTTGATTTATTTTTTTAATCAATTTAACTTTTAATCTTAAATTTTTGTTTGTTCATTTCATAAAAATAACATATACTATTTTGACTATTACCAAGTTTTTCGGTAATAGTTATAAATGTATAAGTCAATTTTATTCGACTAAGAGATCTGGAAAGCTTCCTATTTAAAACAAATATTTTCTATTTTAAAACCACATTTTCAACTTAGCCGAAAATAAACATTTTGCTTATACTTTTAATTTGAATCATCATGCTAATTAACATCAACTAAATTACAACCATATGCAACTTAAATAGCAAAAACACTATTCGATATAGTGTTGTTTTTTGTATCACAGTCCTGACCAGGAAGGCACGCCAAGGTAGTGTGATTTCACGCCATAATATGACCCAAATACAATTTGATTTTGAAAACTTGACCACAGCTGTTGATATGTTTTGAAAATTTGTATGCATTGTAAAAATGTGCTGAAAAATTAACTTAACTATGAAGAAACTTAAAAAAAACTTATTGTAAAAAAATAAAATACATCTTCGGAAAAAAAATAACAAAAAAATAAAATAAAAATAACTTAACTAAAATTAAAAAAAAAAATTAATACTTAACTAAAATAAATCATAAACTATAACAATAAGGTTATTTAAAATGGGTTTAAAATGAATAACTTTAAATCATTTATCTTTACTGTTTTTATAATATAATATTATGCGAAACCCTTTTAAAATAAAGTAAAAACTAACATCTAATGATTTTTTAATAAATGTACACATATAAAAGTTAAAAAAAAAAAGATTCTAAACTATTCGCAATATTGTAAAAAGAAAAAATAATTAAATCATTATTAAAAGTTGATATAACTTTTTTTTTATTTAAAGACATTTATACTATAAAAAATACATACATACATATATATATATATATATATATATATATATATATATATATATATATATATATATATATATATATATATACACATATATATATATATATATATATATATATACATATATATATATATATATATATATATATATATATATATATATATATATATATATATATATATATATATATATATATATATATATATATATATATATATATATATATATATATATATATATATATATATATATATGATATTCATTAATATTTTAATAATAAATGATTTGTTTCTTTATTTAAATGCATTTCAATAATATAAAACATAAGTAAATATCAAACTTATTTAATTCAAATAGCTTTTAAAAATATTTGTTTTTTTTTTTTCTTTTCAACAAAATCTTTCTTTTTTTTTATTTATAATTTTTTAATTTTCTTTATTTCAATTTCAAAAAAAATTTAATTGAATAATATAAATAAAAAATTGTCAAAACAAAATATTATTATATGAGTGGTCATAAAAAGGTTTGAAATCACACACCTTCCTAGCCAAGTCTGATATCATAACTTTTTTATTGTATAAAAAGTCCAAAAAATTTGTTTAAGGATAATATAAAAAATGGAATTTTGTTTATTATTTTTTTTTTTACAGGTTTTATTATTTTTTAAAAGATTGATTTCAGAAAATTATGACTTATTATAACTTATATTATACAGATTACTTACAACATAATCATAGCTAACAATATTAGTTAAAAACATCATTACAACTAAATTGTTTCAATATATCTTGTAGATAAATTTTACTTCAATGACTAATATGTGTAGTCACTGAAGTAAAATTTGGCAATTTGGAAGACTAATTTAAACTTGACTAATTTAATTTTCATACCTTGGTGATAATTCTAATAATTTTATGTTTTCCTTACTTACTTACAAACTGCAGCATTTTAAGTCTTGTCAACTTTTTAAATTTTACTAAAATTCAAAGAATGTTTTTACCTAATGTTTTTATTAAGAGTCATCCATAAAGTACATCATGCTAACTTTAACTTTTAAATTTAAGTATGATCATTTGCTCTCTTGTGCAGAGATTTTCATTCCAGATTTTAAATTTTAATTACTTTAAATATCTAAATGGAAGTCAATAATATCTGAAATCTATTTAAAAGTTATGAGAATTTAAATTTACTTTAAAATTTATGGATAAAATACATCACCCCGGTGAAAGTAGGTTCAAACCAAAAAAAATATCCTAAGGTCATGTGATTATTTTGGATCCGTACTGACCTCCTGTTTCAGAAAATAGCACCAATAAAGAGGTCCAAAAAAAAAAAGACATTATTGTAAACCGAACAAGTCAGTATTTTTCTTTGTATATCCATTAAGTAATTTATTCAATCATGAACTGTTTGATGACTATTACATATTTTAAAAGCTTTAAAATATTCACCATAGACAGAACTTTTATTTATTAATAATTTATATGTTCTCATATAAATTATGGCTACTAACATATTGTGCAAACATTTTCAAATAACTTTATTTCCTAATGTTTTAAAAAACAATACTGATGTATTGGTCAAGTTAATTTTCTTTATAAGGAGGATTAAAAATGATAGAATATTTATATTATTTAAAGCTATTTAATTATTTCCTATGACAAATGAAACCATATTAAAATTTTAATATTTAAATACATATGAACTAC